GAGGTTAGCCTCATGAAATTACAAATGATTTTAAATGCCTGTTATTTTGCATGCATGGTATTCTGGAGGTTATCAGAGAGCTAGCAATGCACATTTTATTTCTTCCCTGACAATTCACTGTTCCTTAAACCACTTCTGCACTTTAACAGAATCAGCCTTTCATCCCATAATATATATGTGTTCCCCCTCTTTTATCTAACCCTAACAAAGTCATCTTAGCCCTAATTTAGTTTTAGTTTAGGTATATGAAAAGAGTCTCCATAATCAGCATCCTATTCCAGCACTTTTTTTCAAGAAAGCAGGATTAATTATTGACAATTATTCAATAATGTGTTAACCTTTTAAGTACTTGGAACATTGTAATTGCAGATTGTGTTTCACTGAAATGTCTACTAGCACTGTTTACATTGCAGTAGAGTGCAACTTTCAACTCTGAAAGCAACTTTTTAACAACAAGCTTTAGTTAACTAGTGAACCAAAACTTAAAACAGTATGATCAAAAAATTAAAGCAGACAGCTTGGAATACCAGAAGCAACAAAATGTCTACTGGTGGTCTTCTCTTTGATACTTTTTAGACTTAAACTATTTATTACAAGCTAATCATCAGCTATTCTCCCACTTAGTTTTATTTTTTCTTCCAGAAAACTTACAGAAAACTTATACTTTTCAAGTTGTGTTAAGCAAATAATTACTTTCATCTGAGACCTGTGCAATGCAGTTTTGAAAATTACTACTTATTCTTATTGTTTACTAAAGGAGAAGATTAACTTCATCAAATAATTACCAGTTTATGTCTTGTGCTTCTTCTAAAGCTGTCTCCACCCTGGTGCATTTTAGCAGGAAATGCATACTTATACACATTCATTGATCAGGAAAACCCTTGAAGTAGAATGATTACTTGCAAAAAAAGGGCATTTTTGTCCTTTGTAATCACTACATTTTTTTCCATTATCTGTATTTATCATTTTGGAGCCTTACTTCATGGTTAAAGTAATTTTGTGTTTAACAGCATTATCACAAATCACTATCTATACAGGAAGATTTTAAAAGGCACAAGTATAACAGGTAAAGAAATGCACCCTATCACTTTTGTAATCTTTTTTTATAAAGTTCTCTTTACTTCAGATATATATTGTTACTAGATCTTTACCTTGGTTTACTGTTCCTTAGAATCTTATGCCATATTACAAGGGAAAGTGTATTGTGTTATTAAAGATGACTTGACATTGTACAATAATCAAAATATACCCTTCAGAATAAGATGTCAAGGCAGGTGGTGAGGTTGTCCTCTGTATTATTTTGTTTTTGAGTTATAAGTACCCTAGACAAATATTTTATTATTGTGTAATGAGTTAAACTACTATTTATTTTTTTTCCCTTTGGACCTGCTAGCTGATGTTGTAATGTTCTGCAGTGCACATGTTTGGACTCTCAGGGCCGCTGTTGACTAATGTAGAGAATTTCCCTTCATTTGATACGTTAAACACAGAAAGAGACGCACATACAGCACACAGGCGTAGCTGATAAACACAGGAGATATCCTCGCTGTGGTTTATTTATTTCGAGTTCAAGAAACACGGACAGAATCCGTTTTGCTCTGGAGTACTATCTATTCGGGAAAACCAGGCGCTTTTGAGTACAGCAGGCATTTTTTTTCTCCAGCTTTTAACGAAGAGAAAATGTCGGGCAGAACAATGAGATGGCAAGTACTGTTGTTTGTGTCGGTCTCTTCCCTCAGCACAGTTGTCGGGCAGGTCGCTTACTCGATTCCTGAGGAAATGTCAAAAGGCTCTGTAGTTGGTAATATAGCGCAGGATTTAGGTATAAATGTAAAGAGACTAAAATCGGGTAAGGCGCGTATATATACAGAAGACAATGGAAAATACGTCGAGCTGAATAAAGACAGAGGCGTCCTGCTTGTCGGAGAAAGAATTGACAGAGAGACGCTCTGCGGGCAGACAACACCTTGTGCTTTACATCTTCAAATTACACTTGAAGACCCGATTGAATTCTATACCGTTACTGTCGAAATTAACGACATTAACGACAATGCTCCGAGCTTCAAAAAGGATGAAATAAAATTTAGGATTAGTGAGTCGGCTGTGACTGGAGCAAAATTTGTGCTAGAGCGAGCAATGGATCCAGACGTAGGTGTGAACGGATTGCAGAGTTATTCGCTACAACCTACTGACAGTTTTAATCTAAAACTCCAAAATCAGCAAGACGGGAGTAAAAAGGTGGAGATGGTGTTGCAGAAACATCTAGACAGAGAGGCGCAACAGCATCTCTCTTTAATTCTCACAGCTGTTGACGGTGGTGAGCCTCAGCTGTCGGGAACAGTGCGAATAGAAATTTCCGTGCTAGATGTCAACGACAATGCTCCAGTATTTACGCAGGAAGTCTATAAGGTGACTATAATGGAGAATGCTGCAAAGGGTGCAATTTTGTGTACTGTTAGTGCTACAGATGCAGATGAAGGTTCTTATGGGAAGGTTATTTATTCAATAACAAACACGTTAGACGGTGTCCCTGTAATGTTTCACATTGCCGAAGAAAGTGGTGAGGTATCCCTAACTGGAAACCTTGATTACGAAAAGGCACAGCTCTATGAAATACACGTACAGGCTAGTGATGATGGGGGACTAACAGATTCAGCTAAGATTCTTGTTGAAGTAACCGACATAAACGATAATCACCCATCTATTAATATAATGTCTAAAACAAATTCTGTAACAGAAAATTCAAGGCCAGAAACAGTTGTAACAATTTTCAATGTTCAAGATCCCGACTCTGGTGAAAATGGCAAAGTAGCATGTAATATCGAAGGACATGTGCCATTTCTGATCAAATCAACATCTAAAAAGTTCTTTAGTCTAGTTACAGACAGTGATTTAGACAGAGAGAGAGCCTCTGAGTATAACATCACTGTGACCTGCTCTGATGA